TCATGGGAAGCTGGTGCATGTACATAACACATCTTAATACTTTTTACTTCCCCTCCCTCCATCTCTTGGTCTCTTTCCCATTTGCAAAAGATCTATCTCCTTATTTCTTATCATCTGTCTTTTATTTTCCTCTGTGATTGATTTCTCCTTTGGATTTCTTAAGTAAGAGAAACCATGTGATATTTAAGCTTGTGTGTCTGATTTACTTCACTTAACATTATGGTCTCAAGGTGCATCTATTTTCCTACAAGTGACTCAAATTTATCCTTCTTTATAGCAGAATAGTATTCCATTGTGTGTAAATACCACATTTTCTTTATCCATTCATGGGCCGATAGACATAAAGGCTTCTTCCAAGATTTAGACTTTTTGAGTTGTGTTGCTATAAACACAGGTATGCGTGTATCACTGTAATACGATGTTTTTAACTCTTTCAGGAAGATACCTATAAGGGGAATATTTGCTCCATTTCCTTAGAAACCTTTATTCAAAATATACATTGTGCTCAGGATCGGGCCTGGCCACATGATGTGTGGAGTCGAGTGCAAAATGAAAATGAAGCTCCACAAATTAAGTAATTAGGAAGGATATCAGTGGAGAGCTGCTGAGTGTTAAGTCAGTTGTGAGACCCTATGTGAATGTGTAGTTCTAAGCCCATGAAGCTGGCCTTGTGTTCAGCGGAGCGAGGTTAGGGCTTAAGTGTAGAATATCAGTTAAAATCTCACGACACTCTTTTCCTAACAGTACTTATGTAATACTTTATTTTTAATTTAGCATTTCATCTTTAATTGACATAATTGTGTTTATGGGGCCCAGTGTTTTCAGATATATGTATATGTTGTGGAAATGATGACACTGAGCTTATTAACATGACCATCACATCACTTATCACTTCTTATGTAATGAGAACCTTTAATATATGAGGTGTAATGAAAAATATGTTGGATGTTTAAAATTTTTATTGCAGTAAAAGACACATTGTTATTGATCTCTCTCAAAATATTACCTGTTGTTTTGAACACATTCATTGTATTGTTCTTGCTAGTTTCTGAAGCAGTTCTAGAAGACCTCCTTCATGTCTTCATTGCGCTGTCGTGGCTGCCTCGATGTCCTGAACTGATTCAAACCTTTTACCTTTCATGGTCATTTTGACTGTGGGCAAGAGCCAGAAGCACATGGTGCCAGAGCCAGACAATAAGGTGGATGAAGACACACTATAATCCGTTTATTTGATAAATTTGATTTTATCTCATTCCCCTCTCAAGCTCCCTACCCTCCCTATATACAACAGTTTTGTTGCTATTTTTTCCTTCTATTTTCACCTTTTTTCTTGTCCTTCCTTTCCTTTCTCCCTCCCTCCTCCCTTGTTCCCCTTCACATTTAAACACTTTCTTCCCATGTAATCTATTTGACAGAAATTGCCACAAACATTTGATTCAATGAGTGTTCAAAAAATACAATGAATATTTAAGTAAAAGTTTTATTACAGTAAAAGACACATTGCCATTAATCCCCTCAAAATACTCTGAACACATCCCATTTTTTTTCTTGGCAATGTATTTTTTACTCTAATAAGTTTTTTAAAAAATGTAAACATTCAACATAATTTTTGATCACTCTTTTCTTTGTTACCTACTTGGAAATATGCAATATATTATTAGCTATGATCACCATGATGTGCGACAGATCTTGAAAATTTATTCCTCAGGACTAATGGAAACTTTGTATCCTTTGGCCAACATCTTCCTAATCCCTTCCTCAGCCCCTGGTAACCACCATTCTACTCTCTACTTATGTTAAATTTGACTTTAGTTTCCAGATGTGAGATCATGTGGTATTTCCCTTTCTGGACCTGGATTAGTTCAGTTAGCATAGTGTTTTATAGCCTCATCCATAATGTTGCAAATGGAATTTCTTTTCCTTTTTTTTTTTGAGGCAGGGTCTTGCTTTGTAGTTCAGGCTGGGCTTGAATTCACTCTGTAGCCCAGGCTGGCCTCAAACCTGTGGCAATCCTGCTGCCTCAGCCTCCAGTGTGCTGGGATTACAGGTGTACACCACCACACCCAGCTGGAATTTCTTTTAAGGCTGAAGAGTTTGCCATGATATATTTACACCTCATTTTCTATTTTATTCTATTTTATTTTATTTATTTTTGCACCTCATTTTCTTTATCCATTTATCTGTTGGTGGACACCACAGTTGGCAGGACAGTCTTAAAGTCAGGAATTCAGTGTTAAGTTCTTAAATTTTTAAAGTCTTAAATTCAGAAATGGAGGCACAGGACCACCCGCTTCTCTCCTGGATGATTCACAAACATCTACACACTGGGCCTACAGGTTTTCTAGGAAGAGCTCTGATTTGTTTCAAGGTCCAGAAGGCTTTCTTCTCTCCTCAGGGGCAGGGCCCTCCCCATCCAGCCTTAAGCAACACTGTACAGAATTAATATACTAAAATTAATGTATTAATGGTCTCTATTTTTATGCTGATATATAGAGATCAGACCATATAGTTTAATTTTTTCCAATCATAATTATATCCTAAGAATTTCCAATGTTCTTAAAATTTCTTCACAAACACAATTTTTGATGGCTCTGAGACATTACCCCCTGGGTGTACCACAATTTATTGAAGCATCCTCCTGCTCTCATAGTTTAAGGCATCATAATTTTGGAAATGAATAGTGCAGAGGCAACCACCTTTATTAATAAAACTGCACTCACCATGCTCTGGGAAGCTCTGATTAACAAGAGACTATACTTTGTTTTATTTTGCCCTTATGGGTATAAAGATTGGACATTTCCCCCTATTTTTATTTTACGTTAGCATACACATCACAAAACTCCTTTAAAAAAAGGAAGCAATCTGGATATGTACTTTTGGTATTACTTCACGGAAACTGTGAGTAAAGATTTTAAATCCCAGAAGATGCAGGAAACATGGGAAAGGGGAGAGCAAAGTGTTGGGGACAAAAGGGGGGAATGGGGTATGAGGTGAGGAAGGGCCAGAGGAAGGAGGTAAAGGGAGGCTGATGCTAGCTTCTCAAGGCCCCAGCCCTGTGGAAGGCTGTGTACCTAGTTCCCAACAGGTGTCCAAGTGCGGTCTCAGCTTCAGAAGAGTGGTTTCAAAGAAGCCAGAAAGCTAATGAAACTCACAGGACTCTGATTAACCCACTGTGGGCACAGAGAGAGGCAGGGACTTGGATAAATACCACGGGGATGGGAAAGTTTTATGGAGGTGGAAGGAAACAGGTCATACAGGCTAGGATCAGAGGCCCAGGGCTATTCTCAGGATCTGCAAGGTGGGTCAGGGGAGGGATGACGGAGGGATGAGCAAGTGGCCTAGGCCATGCATAGCTGGGCATCTTCCTACGCCGTGTCTTGCCTTGGTTTTGCTGGTCCAGGTGGTGGGACCCAGCCATTCTCGGGTTCCCTCCACTGCCCGTACCACTGTCCACCCCATCACTGTGGCTGGTCAGAGACAGTAAGTGGCAAACTGGTTAGTGGAGCAAGACTATGGGGCTTAGTCTTCTGACCCAGAGAGGAACAGGTTTCCAAAACACTGAGAGAAAGGGGGATTGTGTCTCACGTGTACCACACAGCTGCCCCAGAGTGGGCTGCATCTGGAAAAGGCTCTTCTTTGTGTGAATCTCTAGAGCAGGCACAATGTGACTGTAGGAATGAGAGCATAGCAACACCACCAGGACAGACTGACCCAGAAATGTTTTGGCTAATGGCATTAGGTTTATTTTGTGGAAAAGAAGAATTTGGGGTTCTCCATAAGGCACTTGTGGAGCTCAGATGTAAAGGCAACCACAGCTAATGACGGACCCCTTCCAGGGCATCCCTGGAGACAGACAGGAGGGAGACATCCCCCAGGGCCACAAGGGACACCCCCTATCAAGTTGATAAATTTGGGGACCTGGAGCAGATGGCCGCTTGTTTACATCAACAGCTTGCTTCTGCCAGGGAGTTCTAAAGTTTGGCATTCAGGGTGGGAGGCACAGGGCCCATCCACTTCTCTCCTGGATAAAGAAAAGCAGAGATGTCTACACATTGTTCTCAGGTGTGCTGGCAGCAGGGGTGGCCCAACAGGACCCAGGAGTTTTCTAAAAAGAGCTCTGTTTGACTCCAAGGAAGAAGCTTGCTGAAGGCTTCCTTCTCTCCTGGGGGGACCTGGCGGCTCCTCCCCATTCAACCTTGAGCAGTACTGGCTGTATAAAGTTTTTTCTTTTTTTTTTGGTACCAGAGATCGAACTCGCGACCTTGCACTTGCATGGCAGGTGCCAGAACCACTGAGCTAAATCCCTGGCCCTATGTATAAAGTTTTCTTGTGGGAAGTGTCAAGCATTTTTTGTTCTGAATGCCTGCTCTGGTCAGCTGATATAATGGGGGTGGGGCTGGGGTCAAGGTTGATCGGAGTGGAAACTGGAATTTACCTAGCAAGTACGCTAGCAATTCCATTCGGTCAGAGCCAAATAACATGTGCGTCTGGCGATCCACGTGGACCACAGTGATGGGCAACCCGAAGGCCTAAAGAAAGCAGAGTGCAGGGAAGAAGGCAATGGTGCTATTAGGCTGGGATTGAGGGCTTTCAGGCAACAGCTGTCTGGGGTCTCAGCAGCCCAGTTGCCAAAGAGTTGTTCGGAAACATGGACCAAGGTGTCTTCTCTGCTTGGGACACTGAGGCTCTTCCTTTTCTTTCCTTCCTTTCTTGTGCTCAGGTAGAGGAAGGGAGAAGATGAGGGTTGTCTGGGAGAGCTGGGAAGGAAGCATGAGCGGGGCTTTTGGGCAGGAGTACAGAGCCCTTTGCTAAGAAACCGTCTCTTTCTTCGGGACAGGACTTGGGAATACACGGAGAGTTGCTCACCCCATATTTGCAGGCTGCCTCAGTGGTCTCCTTGAGCTGATTCTTCACTTGTGCTGTGGAGCTCTTCTCCAGAAGGCCTTGGGCTTTCTCTGCAGATAAACCAGCCTTCTGCGCTGCCTGAGGGGACATGGCAGGGGACACAGCTCTATCTGCACTGTGGAAGCAGGAGCTCAGGAGAAGAAAACTCTGATGTTTTCTTTGGGTGTTTCCAAGTTTTCCTGGGAATGCCTTTCCCCACCCACAGTCATCCTTGTCAAGAGGCAGTCTGTGACAATGGCAGTTTATCCTTGTCAAGAGAAATTCTTTCTCCAAAATTTGAAATGGGTGAAAAGAACAGTGGGCAGAGTCACAGCCAGAGGAAATGAACACCAGAGGGCATCTTAGAGATCACGTAGTCTCACCTCTTCATTTCACAAATGAAGAGACTCTGGTCAGAGGTGACACAGTACTTGTTCAGAGGTACAGATCTCTAAGTCTCTAGAATTCAAGTCCAAGGTGCTTACTTTCCTACTTCTCAGAATCCCTAAATACCTAATTTTTCAAATCAAGGGCTGGGTACTAATTTCCATGGACTTTCTGGAGGACTCTGACATGTCACAGTGGTAGCCTCTTGCCTGGCTTCAAGAGAATAATAAAGGCTTTGGCTTAAAGATGCACATTAAAGCTTGGGACCAGTGGTTCTCAAGCCTGGTGCACATCAGAATATCCTGGGGAGCTTTAAAAAACCCTGATCTGCAGGCCAACCCTAGCAAATGACCACATCAGGTGGGAAAGGTGATGCTGATGGACAGCCCTGGCTGAGAATCACTGCAACCTGACCTACATTTGGAGGCCACAAAGTCCATGGTGATGAGCCATTGCCTTGACAGGTTAAATGAGAGAACTGTGTCTCAGACAAAATGGCCAACAATAGGAGAATGGATAAGTAAGCAGAAATAAGGTCACTGGTTGGAAAACTAGGTCAAAACAAAGAACTGTACTTTCAGAAAGTCAAAAGTGGCATGGAAAGGGGTTTTTAAATATTAAGCAGAAAAGCAGGCTAAAAAATTTCTTTGCAGGAACAAAGACACTAGATGGTAGTGGGCAGGCTTTTGAACACAACTTTAGTGTGGTCTGTCATTTCATATATTAACTATGAATATGCCTCAACTATCTTCTATAAACTGAATTTTCTCACTTAATCCCACAGGGTGTCATTTTTAAATTTTTAATTAATTATTTATTTTTCACAGGGTGTCATTTTTAAAACCCCATCTCTGTATGGCATGCATTCAGTGTTTTGAGAGCATTATCCATTTGTTCTCACTCTGACACTTGTCACATCTCTTTTTGTCTTTTTAAAGCCTCTTTTAAAAATCTCTTGCATTGTAATATACATCTGTTGGTGAGTTTTGTGATGGAGTATTTGGAGACTTGTGAATACGCCATCCTTCCACACCTGGGGTTCTAGCTGTGATTCTTTCTCTCCCATCAACTACATTTTACCCATGTGTTACTCATTTGGCATTTCTTTTTTCAACCATGAGATTTAATTTGTTTTTAGTACTGGGACTGAACCCAGTGCTCTGTGCATGTTACACACACTCTACCACTGTGCTACATCCCCGCCTGCTAACACACTGTTTTGAGCATGCTTTTAATTCTCTTTTCAGTAATTTGTCCCCTCTAAAACATTTTTTCCCCCAAAATCACTATGAGCTTTTTCATGCAATATGATAGCCATTGTTCTTTCTCTTTGCTCTCAACACCGGCTGTTCTCAGATCCCTGGGAGAACCCTGGGCGCGGGGCCCAGTCACTCACAGCCAGGATGCTCTGGGACTCCACGATGTCTTCATCCTGGGAAAGGAGGACGCTCAGCAGAAAGGGAGTAGCAAAGACAGGGAAACGACAATGAGGAAAGGCAGTATTGTTATTCTGGAAATGGGCCTGGGAAAGGTCAGAAAGCCATCCAGGGTCCCCCTCAGTGGACTTCCAGAGCCCATCCCTCACCTGTGACCAGATGCGCATCCATAGCTCCCTGGACACCTTTTCCAGGCTCTCGGGGTGTTCCATGTTCACGGCAGTGAGGAACCGCATGGCAGACAAACTTCCTGCAGGACAGATGCACTCAGAGGTAGAGCTCTTGTCTTTTTATCTGGATGTCTCAAGAACAGGCTCCTCCCTACTCACATGCCTCTGCTGCCTGCTAGCTTTCACCTGTTTCCCATAACCAACTCATCCTGTTAAACCCCTTTTTCTGACCCCACAGCCCCATGTTTGTTCAGCTCAGATCCTGACATTCCCCAGCAGGCTGCACCAAGTTAGTCTCCCAAGCCCACTGGCCCACTCTTTCCTGCCCTCTTCACCTTTTTCGAGAACCGCAGAGTTGAAATCCTTGGGAAATCTGAGGGGGACCTGGAAATGCTCTTTCAGGCGTCTAAGGTCATTTGCCATGTACTGAGCTTTTCGAGGAACCATAGCTGGTGGCTTGTTTCCTGGCAGTGGAGAGTTGGGACAGGCTGATGAAAGAAGAACTAAGGGTCCCAGGCTTGGAGGACCTTTCCCTTGGTCTCAGGCAGAGTGCAAATTACAGCCCCAGCTGCAGATGCCCATATAGAGACCCGCTGAAGGCAGCTCCTGCGGGCCCCGGAGATGAGATGACCCCAGCCCTGCCCCAAATGCCTCTCCCTGCCTACCGCTGTCTTTCATGATCCCTGCAATATAGGTGGGCCGAAACTGCAGCTTGATGTTCCAGATGTTCCGATACCTGCACAGGACCTACCCCCGAGGAAGCAAAAAAACCCAAAAACACGGGTCAGAAACACCTCACCTGGCAGCCAATTAGCCAGAGATTCTAAGTGCAGAGCAGGGCGATAAGGGCACTCCGGGCTGTTTGGTTTAAAAGGACACACAGTTCTCCTAGCCTAGAATCAATTTCACGATCTCTGCTCCTACTCGTGATTTCCCTTCTATTCTGGACCTCGCCCTCAAAAACTGAGCAGAGGGCCAATGAATATGCGTTTCTCCTTGGTTCTCTGGGGCTGGTCCTGTTCCTTCTCCCCACCGTGGGAAGGCTGTACTGTCTCAGGAGACAGGGTCTCCAGGTGGAGCCCGCGACTCTGACCCGTTTAAACGCACGAAGTAACCGTCAGCCTTACACACTCTGAAGGTCGCAACCCCAGGGGCAGCGCCAGGGATTTCAGGAGACTCAACCCTGGTGCCCTTGCCCTCCAGGCCCAAGCGGCTTCCCCGGCGTCACCTCGAAGCCCAGCCAGGAGTAGGGGGATAGCACATCATAGAAGAGCTCCAGGGTGCGTGGCGAGGGCCCCATGTTGCTCCGGGAGGCAGGTGGCGAAAAGGAGAGCGAAGGGAAGGTGAATCAAGCGGCCTCAGCCACCTCTCCCGGGCCCTCAGACCCAGCAACCCCTCCCGGACCCGCCCACAGCGCCGGCCGCGCAGCCTCTGTGCAGACACTGGCCCGCGGGGAGGGCTGTGCCTCTGACGCCGCAGCTCTGCGTTCCGGAGTCGAGGGGCGCCGGGGTGGAGTCACCGTCCGCTGAAGTGGAGTCTGGGGCAAAAAGGGTGGTCTGAGGTGCTTGCAGTTCATCTCACCTAGCTGTGCGCCTTTGCCAGCAACTAGGTGGCTCTGAACCTCTTTGGCGCTTCAGCGCTCCAGCAGATAGGGCTGCATGAGCAGAATTATGAGGAAGGAAGGGCTTGCAATAAATGTTAGCTGTTATTATTTTTTCTTGGGAGTTGCACGAACCTCTTAGGACTGGGTAGAAGTTCCCAATTACACATTTTCTTGTGTTCCCTGGAACTTTCGTGACAACCAATATAGTAATCCTCTCATTGCATGCCTGAAATCACAGACAATACTGAACCCTACATACAGTATACTATATTTTTTTCCTATATATACCTATAACAAAGCTAAATTTATAAATTGAGGACAATTAGGGATTACCACTGATAGCTAATAACAATCTACTGCATTAAAAGCTTGCATTTAGGGGTTATTATTAACTAAAATAAGGCTTACTTGAACATGAGTACTTCAGTGATCTTCCAGATGATTCGATAATCGAGATGGCTTCTAGTGACGAATGGGTGGGTCATGTATACATGGGATATGATGGACAAAAGGCCGATTCACACCTCAGGAGGGAAGGCACAGGATTTCATCATGCTACACAGAAAGACTCACACTTCAGAACATATGAAGTATTTATTTTTGTAATTTTCCATTTATTACTTTTTAGACTAAGTGGACTGGGGAAAGCAAAACCACAGAAAGTGCATCTGCAGGTAAGGGGTGGGAGGAACCCCTGTAGGCCCAACTAATCCACCTAGTGTGGCCCAGGAAAGAACATACGTAGGCACAGCTTCAGATACAGAAGAGCACAGTAAATCTTGAGAATGTAAGTTACAGAGTTGATGTGTCAAGTGCCTGGTCATAAGATCATAAGCTCTTAAAATCATTGAAAAGTGCATTAAATGAGCAGCAAAAAGTGAGGGAAAATTTTATACATTTCTTGAGAGCATGAAAGAGAGAAGTGCTGGTAGAGAATAGTGTGACCTCACTGCTGCAATAACTGTAGGCATGGTGGGGAATTTGTATTTGCAAATATGTCATGTTGAATTATAATTTCATTTACCACAATAAAACAATTTTTAAAAATCCCTTTACAATTTATTAAAATTATTTTGAACACTACTAATTTTATAAATTGGCAAACACATAATAAAGATTCCACTTTTCATTTGTATTTGTTAGGAAAAAAATTACAGGCTAACAGAATACAAAGCGCTAATCTACACCTCCACATGGATTATGCTGTGTGATCAAAAGCTATAATGAATGTTTAAATTAAGTTATTACTGTAAAAGATATATTGCTATAAGCAGGGTGGGAGATTTGGTGTGCCCCGTGCAGATTTTCCTCTCCCGCTGCCCTGGGTAGGCTCGCTCCCTCTAGCTCCTGTGGTGTGGATGAGGACTCAGCTGGTCTCTCTGCAGTAGGGCCGCCTTCCCCACGGCCATGGCTCAGCAGGGCAGTGTGGGTCAGTCGTGAGGCTGCTGAAGCTGCTCTCCGTGGAGACCTAGCAGTTCTGCGTTTGAGTTGGGACCCTTAGTGAACCGTGACACCTCTCCCAGTTACAGGTAACTCTGAATTTTCCAGCTGCAGAATGTATAGTACCTTAAAAGATGAGGTCTCCCAGGGTTGCCCAGGCTGGTATTGAACTCCTGGGCTCAGGGGATCCTCCCACTTTAGCCTCCCAGGTAGCCAAGACTCCTGGTGAATGCCACCATGCCCTGGTTTCTACTTTAAAAGACTAAAATGCACAGCAAGTTGGCCATGATGAGTAAACTGGAATTAAAAGAAGACAAGATGCTAGGGGTTCAATTTGTGGGAGATGATGATGTTCTCTTTTTTTGGTACCGGGGATCGAACTCTGGTCCTTGCACTTGCGCAGCAGGCAGTGAAACCACTGAGCTAAATCCCCGGCCTGATGATGATGTTCTTAATCATATTCTTTTTTTTTTGGTACTGGGGATTGAACTCAGGACCTTGCGCTCATGAGGCAGGCACCAGAACCACTGAGCTAAATCCCCGGCCCCCTTAATCATATTCTTGCTAGAGAAGGAGACACTAAATTAAAGAAGGAGCAAGCTCAGCTTTTGGTCAATCCACAAAAAATAATAAAGAAGCAGGAATATGATGTGGAGGAAGGTGACCAGGAAGTATTAAAGGATCAGAACTATGTGGAGGTTTTGGGAAGAAACATTAAAGAATTTTTGAAAAATGGCTCTGCTACAGATGGTGGGAATAAAGTTTATTCTTTTCAGAATAGAAAATGCCCTGAAAAGATGGCTAAATTAGCTTCTGAACTAACCAAAAACCAAGAAAAAGTGTTTCATTCAGGTTGAAAAATGATCCTGGGATTTTAAGCATTGCTCAGAGTAGCAAGGGGCATTCTGCTTCAGACATAGTTCAGCCAAAGAACAATGACAAAAATGAATTGCAGTCTACACCACCTCGTAGTCTAGGAAAATGATTAATAGTTGTAAGGTCTCAGTCTGACAGTGAAAGTGAATATTCAGCTTCCAACTCAGAGGAGGATGAAGGGGTTGCGCATGAGTCTGAGGACGCGAATGTGTCTGTATTCAGCCAGAAGATTCAGACTCAGAGTAGAGTGTCAGCTCCTGTCTGCAAAGGACCACCTTCTAAGAAAATGAGAAGAGATAAAACTTGTGACTTAGTGGAAGAATACTTTGAAGCTCACAGCAGTTCCCAAGTCTTGACCTCAGACAGAACCCTGCAGAAGCTGAGGAGAGCTGCCCTGGATCAGCAAACTCTGTGTAACTCACTAAGCAAGGTTTCCCCTTCCTTTTCTACTGAATTTAAACAAACAATTAAATCAACAATATGAAAATTTACTTCCTCAATGGTTGTTGCAGTTACACCTTGGTTTCAACATTGTGCTTTATGGCTTGGGTCTAAGAGATTTACTGGAAAGTTTCCGAACCACCATGCTGCAGGACTCGGCTTGAAGGACCCTAGTTAGCAAGACAGACTCCATATTGCTGCTTGACCCACCTGCCTGCCCTTTAGATGAACTCAGGAGGAAGCTTAGAAAACTCCTCCCCTTAGAAAGTCTCTTTAGAAATAACAATTAATCAACTATTGTTTTACAAATGTTCTAACGGCAGGACGTTTCGCTTCTGTACCTTTTGCTTGCTTTACTAGTTCTCCCCCATAGGGGGGCCTAGAAACTGCTGGCCTTAAAGGTGTATAAAACATGTTTGTCTCCCCCCAGTCGGGGCTCGAGTCCGATGCTCAGCTCGGGCCCCTGCCGGTAATAAACTCCTGTGTGGATTTAATATCGGTCTCTGGTTGGTTCTTTCTCGCTGGGTCTAACATGCTCATGTTGTCATCAATGGCTTCCCTGGGATCAGTGTGAAGTCAATCCTGAATTCTGTAACAGAAGGAGTCTTTGATCACATGGGTACTTTCCCAAGTGTTCTGGATCAGCTAGACTGGATCATACACAGATTTAAAGAAGTGTGAGACCACGCAAAGCAGAGCTTTTATAACTGGCTGTGGTACGAGACCACCACTTATGGTCCCTACACCGAGGAGACGTCCTACGAGAACTCTCTGCTGGTCGAGCAGTCCGGCGCACTCCCGCTGAGCGCCCTTACACACATCCTGCGCAGCCTCACCCCTAATGCACAGGGAATTTTCAGGCTGCTAATGAAGTATCAGCTGGACAAGCAGGAGGACCCTTCCTACATGGGGCCGTCCTTTCAAGACTTCTACCAGCAGTGTCGGGAGGCCTTCCTCGTCAACAGTGACCTGACACTCCGTGCCCAGCTGATGGAGTTCAGGGACCACAAGCTGATAAGAACGAAGAAGGGAACCAATGGAGTGGAGTATTTACTAATCCCTGTTGACAGTGGAACGCTGACTGATATCTTGGAGAAGGAGGAAGAGGAGGCTTGAAGCTGGCCTCTCCCCTTGAGACTTCCACCAGCGTCGTGTGCCCCAGTGTCTGCTCTGTGAAGCGTAGCGTTTACATCCACACTCGATTCCTCCCCAGTGTGCAGGAGCCGCTGCGGGGGCAGCTGCGTCCACAGGACTGGTCCGCCAGCCGCCACCCAGTGCTCCACACTGCTGCACCCAGTGCTCCACACTGCTGCTCCGGCTGACTGAACGTGCCTTCTTCATTGGTTACCCCTGGAGACTTCCTGCCGGATGAAGTATGCTCAGGGACTGTTTGAACTGGATGTCTGTGAATTCTTTCATACTGGAGATATTAGTCCTGAATTTTTTTTTTTTTTTTTTTTTGGTACCGGGGATCGAACTCAGAACCTTGCGCTTGCAAGGCAGGCACCGGAACCACTGAGCTAAATCCCTGGCCCTAGTCCTGATTTTTTGAAGAGGGCCTTTAATACTCCCCGAACTTGTGGTGTGCAGTGTGCTTGTCCCAGAGTGTGAACGTACACAGCGTCCCGTGTGTGTGTATTGTGTGTGGGACCCAGGGTGTGGGGAAGGCATCACGTCTGAGATATAAATGGAGGGGACTTGGGCTGGGGACACAGCTGGGATGAGGGAGCAGCAGAGTGCACAGGATGTCTGCCCAGCTGGGAAGCATGGGAACAGACAGGTGTGTTGGAACAGTCACATCTGTGCGGTGACCTTGACCTTGAGATGCAGACAAGAAGCCAGGCTACAGAACAGAATCCTGAATTATATTACATTTTAATGATTGTTTTTGGAACAACAGAAAATACAACACTTTATTCTTGTATATTGACATATTTTTATTTTCTTGAATAATTTGCAGGTGAATAGTGTATTACTAACAGTTGGCTGAAAACCTTGCCTTCCCTGTCCAGCAGATATGAAAGCATGTAGGATCTTTCCACCGCTTTGAAAGCACAGATCTCAGCCTCTGAA